GCTATTTTCATTGCATGTCAAGTAAATATTTCGAAATAGCTATATCATGACACCAACTCAATTCTATTATGTTAATGTCTTTTGACAGTAATCACAAACATAAATGTATTTGATCTAATTTAATTTCTTTTTAATGCGGACTATATGCCTATGTGCATGAATTAACCCAAACAACCCTAAAATACCTTCAAATTTTGAGACGGACTTTTCCGAAAAATACTTGTATCCGTATACATATCATTATTACCGCTCAACTCAGTTTGCGAGGCCTTCAACAAAAAGCAAAACCAGTATAGCACCCTATATAGTAAGCTATTAAAGGTCCCAGCATGGTAAACTATTAAACAATTCAAATGAGAAAACCAAAGTACTTATATCTACTAAAACAAACTAGAAAGATTAAAAATAAATATGACAGATAGCAATCAATGAAAATCATGCTGAATTACAGGCTTATGACTTGGGACATGTACATAAAAATGAGACGGGGTAAACATGTTTCAAATCGCTCAACCCTACTCTCTGGGACAGTAAAAGTAAAAGCAAAACATGTGTCAAATCATTTAGAAAGGTTTGCTCATCAGACCGACACAAGGCACCGAAAGACACAAAGTATCATTCACAGTTATACGGAAAGCCAGTTCAAAGTCCATTAAAAATAACAGATAAATCAAATTTCCCCAGACTATAAAACAAGAATGTATGCATTTACATGCTTAGCATACACCACTTGTTGGTAAACAGGAAGTAGGTGTCTGACAGATCCTACAAGTGTTTACTCGAGACATTATGGTCAAGTTACAGGTCAATTATTAAGTCATGCCTTTCAGTAGTGCCGTTTGTGAAAAGTGTGACTGAAATATTTGTTGGATGAATGCACGAATAGAAGGACGAACAAACGGACGGGTAAGGTGAATGTCATTTAGGCCTAGAGTGGGGGTATATTTATGAATCATTACGCATTATTTAAGCAGTCTGAGAAAGACACGATCTTGTGCAATGTCAAAATATAAGTATCGCCTTAGTATAGACCAACAAATGTTAATAAATGTGTAACAATACATATTTAGTTCTGTTTTATTTTAATAAAAGCAAAATACCTGCTTCTTATATAACACAGAATTGATCATTTTTCATCTAAACTACCAGACAATTCTTAACAATAATTATTCCTACTAAACTATAATGTGAAAGTTACGTCTTTCTCAAATCCTTAAATACAGTTTGAGTGTCTTGACTTTTTTTTATCAGAATATACTTTAAAAAACTGAATAAAAGACCGAAGGACTTTTATGTTCAGTTTCTTAGTCTAAACAAAGATAAAAGAGGGACGAAAGATACCAAAGGGACAGTCAAACTCATAGATCGAAATCAAACTGACAACGTCATGGCCAAAAATAAAAAGACAAACAGACAAATAATAGTACAGATGACACAACATAGAAATCTAAAGACTAAACAACACGAACCCCACCAAAAAGTGGTGGTGATCTCAGGTGCTCCGGAAGGGTAAGCAGATCCTGCTCCACATGTGGCACCCGTCGTGTTGCTTATGTTATTACAAATCCGGTAAGTAGTCTAATTCGGTAAGTCACATTCGTGAAAAGGGAAGGGTATTGTAGTTACGACATAAGGAACATATCCGATATCATCTGTGAAACGGTTATTCCATAACAGTAAACCAACTCGTAATGGCGTCCGTAAAATTTACGAAGGGATGATTTCAACTTCACCATTTGGAACTCTTGGTTTAATAGCTTCCTTGTGAGCAGCAATCCTCTATCAAGGAAATCATGATAGGAAATACAAGCACGGGAATCAATTGGGAGATATATCCGTATGCAGGCGCTGCTGGAATGTTGCTACATAGAATGGAAATAAAATATCCACAAGAAAAAAGTGTTAAATTCTAAAGATGCTTAATTCAAACATTTGTTAGTTTTTCTTTCAATTACAACCTTATAAGGATCCCAAGTGTCTCTCGTCGTAAAATCGACATAGTATTATCACTGGTTACAAAAGAAGTTTTGGCAGCATAAGTCTATCAAATGTAAACCAATGGAAAAACATTTAAACGAATCAATCACATTCAACTATATGTCTGTGGGTTAAACTTACATAAACATCCATTGCACAAATCTCCTCAAAGTGCTGACTTGGTATATTATTTATCTCGGAACACAACTGAAAGGCATCTTTGTTGTTCAAGTGTTCTTTACAGTAGCTGATAGATTCATTCAAAGTAAATTCATGTTCATGAATGTATGGAGGCTGCAAGAAAAGTATTTTGAAAACTCAATGTCATCGTCTTACACTTTCATTTAATTTTGAGATTTTCCGTGAGATGGTGCATGCGATAAAGCAAATAAAACTTATGAACAAAATTGTCAACAAAGCCAAGGGTAAAGAAGACAAATTTAATGCATTTTCGTAGGAAGGAATTATCAATCATGGAGAGAGAAATTAGAGTATGACACTTTTCAGGACAAGTGATCCAGAAGAGATCTTTTATTGAATTTTCTTTGAGATGTTTACAGTCTAGTATCTTCATGACTACGTTTTTTTCAATAATTCACTTTAATTTTTCACAAAAAGAAAATTAAGATATAGGTCAACAAGATTGCAATCCATTGACATAAAAAATCTACAAAATAATGGATGGTCAAGAGATAGACATTTCATGTATTTCATTATGAGTTCCAAATGAAGCGAGACCGGATGCGTCGACAGTTAAGCGTCTCCTGGCATAAAACAGTTGTTTTTCATTAGTTTAATGTGTTTGACCTTTTGATTTTTGACATTTGATAAGAGATTTTCCGTTTTGAATTTTCCTTGGAGTTCGGTATTTTTGTTATTTTACTTTCTGATATGCATCACCGCAACAATCACATGCAAAATCACTCTGAGTCAAAGTGTCACGATCAGAAATAGGACATGATTGGTTAAATTACAGATTTTCAGCTCCCGTTTGTTCATATAGCTCTTTTCACGTTTTTCGTATTTTTATACATATATGCTTTACAGTTTTTGGTTTTGAGCGTCCCTGAAGAAGATAACGAAAGAAAGCGCTTTTAAAGTTCAGTTTATAAATTGTTATCTTCATATTGAAGCAGTACACGATCAATTGGAAAGTAAAGCATGGGGCTTCATGTGCCTGTGTTAGCTGCGTAAACGGGGCATAAATAATGCATTCAAGTTTGATGCATCAAAATCTGAACTTGCTCAGACAAGATTCTCCTTGGACAATTTGGCAGTTGTTTGAAAGTACTTTCTGTTTTCATGCTCTGCAACCTTTTTTGATAATGTATCATATGGCTTTTATATAAATATAGTACTGCAAAGACCAAATATAAAAAAAATGTTAGATACTTGAAGGACACCATAGAAAAGTGAGATACAATAACATATATACGGTTTACGTAGCTTGGAAAAATAAGACCAAACAGGGCAGGGTAACCCTGTAACAAAGATATAAGACTAAAACATGTGACCAATTATCAGTATTGTAAAAATTCATACGGAAATCTACATCATTAATATCTTTAACTCTGATGATTACATTTCAAAGAACGTGTACTTGTGCATGTTAGAGTTAAGTGTATTTTTTTTGGAGGTTACTACAACTGCCCGTAGTACTTTACCTTAAAAAGGAATATCAAACAAATATTTCATATATTGCATTTATGATACGTTTCTGAATACACTTTCAGTCAAATTCAGACTGCAGCAAATAATAGAACGATTAAATTTTTGAACGTGTGATTATGGAGGGAGTATAAACACAAGTATAATTGAACTCCGTACATATATTGTAAAAATAATTGTATGAATATAACACATTTGCATGATATTACAACATTCGTTGAATATGATAGGTTGGATAAATCGTGTTATTTGCTGATATTTTTTTGTTTGAAATAGAAAATGTATGCATTTATGTACTAAGTAGTTTTTCATTTTCTTTTGATCATTGATTTGTACATAAAAAGATCACAGGAATTACATACTTTTGTTACATGATTTTCTTCCTTCATTATTGGTATGTTTTTAACATAGTTTCCAGGTGAAACATTATTTCTGCATGTTGTTTCTACAGACTCAAAACCGGAATCAGTACAATAGACACTAGGGTATAAATGATTACCACATCTGTCACTTAAAGTACCATTTTCTCTAGGAGTACATTTGCAATAGTTGTCAGTATTGTGCCAGACGGACAGCGAACTGTTTTCGCTCAGGGAAAATAAGTCATCGCCTTGTGGTACACTAAAAAATATGTCAAAATGTGTGTAGAAAGATTGAATTTACTTTTCTATGCGGCCTTGCAGAATCTTTTTATGTTTAAGCTGTACATGATATGTAATCAACATCCTGTCGGGATGAAGACATATAACCTAATATCTAATATCATCGGAATAAAGTTTTGTGAATTTGTAAATGTCCGTGAATGATCTATAGCAAGGAAAATATCTTCAATGCACGATCTCACCTTTTGCTTGTAAAACTTTTAATGTCTACATTGTGTCAACGACGAACATTCCTTGGTGTACTTGAGTATACATGAGATATTTACAAACAACTATCAACAGCAATTATTCAAAATGTTGAAATTGATCCACACAAACTTGCATTTTCTTTTCTTGAGATAAAAGGAAAATATACAGTATGTTATAATTGAAAAACAAACAGTGAAGTCATTGATAAGTTAGAATGAATGTATATAACACTATCTTATAAATGATAAAATGTAATTTCTATAGACTTGTGAGGAAACCTAGCAAAACTACGAAATTAAATATCCACAAAAGTTGGTACCAACGAAAATTAATGTACATCAACCCCAAAAATGTTCAAAAATAACGTATAGAGTAAAACAAACTTTTAGAGTAGAACAGAGTATTTACTGATAGTATGTATGCATTAAATATATCTTACATCCATGAATTAGAAAATTCACTATTAGCAAAGGAGTATAAACTGTTATGGCAGCTAGCAGCTACCATTATTGAATTTCCATTTCGTAATCGAAAGTCATCACCACAACTGTTAGTAACAGTTCCACATAGACCCTCCGTATTATTGAAATCATCAGCTGAAGGTCGGATTTCTATGTCTAAGAAGTTAACATTAGCTACTCTTACAGCAACCGATGTACCAGTAGGAAACACTATCTACAATTTATAAGCATTTTATCTATATTAAAAATGGCAAAACACGTCATTCGAAAAGAGTAAGTTTTTTTTTCAGTTTATATAAAGTGTAATAGATAACATAAAAAATAAAATAACAAAAATACCGAACTTCAAGGAAAATTCAAAACGGAAAGTCCGTTATTAAACGTCACAATCAAAAGCTCAAACACATCAAACGAATTGAAAACAACTGTTATGTAGAAAATGGTAGATTAAATCTGGTTTTATAGCTAAACATCTCACATGTATGACAGTCGCATAGAATTCCATTATATTGACAACAATGTGTGAGCAAAACAAAAAGACATAATACGTAAAAGTGTCAAAACCTGGGGTACAGCGATCTAAATTGTGTTATTAAAGTGATCACTATAAAAACAAACAACTATGTCAACAACAAAAACACAAACTGGCATATAGACACTCTATAGACAAAGCACATAAGCAACAATGAAAGACAAGAACACAAAAACTAAGACATCCATCGTTAACGTTTTTTGTCCTTTTTTTGTATGCATAATACCACATATCTTTTTGAATAAATCTTGAACCAAGACACAAGAGAGCATATTGACATGTATGCAATGTTACAGTTTCACGTGTTTTTTTCTAATAACAAAAAATCAGACAATTTCAGACAATTTTGTTTTTACAAGAATTTCCAAGCATAAAATAAAAAACTAATCTTCTCTACGAATGGAAAATTGTCACTTATGTTCACACTGTCAAAGAGTTTATAAAAATTATTGACAATTAATTTCAAATTTTTTTTCCAGAGTAATATAAAAATAAATCGTTAGGTGTCTATTTAAAATTCACCAACAAGGCAAGCAACATGTAATCAATTGAACGAATTGACTGTGACAACAACTGGTTAGAGGTCTAATTCACAATTCTATATAATATGGAGCATTTAAATGTCAGTTAAAAGGAGTACAATCAGGTAATGTGTTTATCATTTGAACGCCAATTAATTGAGATGTTGATGGCATTTGAATAGTTGGTCTGCTGATACGTGTCCTACTGAATAAATGGATTGTGTAACAAATATTCACTACAGATAAATAATGGGCTACGACAATGTTAATTTAAGGTTTTCCGTATAAATGTGAGTAAAAGATGAAACATAAAATTATCTGTAACATATGATATGCAAATTATATTTTGTTTTCTTTTTGAAGATATATTATAGATCTTAAATGGACTTTAGAAGTTTTGATGTCAAATATTATAGGATTTCTTAAAAGGCCTTTTCATGCAAAGTCCTAGCTCCTAAATCTGGTGGGAAAGACGGTTTTGCTGACAGAGAAGACTATATAACACTGTGAAAATGTGTCCCTTTAGTATCTTAAGCCTCTCTTTTGTAATTGATCATAAGCTACCCACATTAACTGCTCACAACTTATAAACTGAAGATGTTTTGTAGTAATGTCTAAATTCAAGATAATCAATACAGTAAATCAAAATTGATTGTAAAAGAGAAGCGAAAGATTGCAGAGGAACATTCAAACTCATAAGTCAAAAATAAACTGACAACGCCATGGCTAAAAAGAAAAAGAACAACAGACAAACAATAGTACACAAAACACAGCATAGAAAACTAAGAACTAAGTTTGTAAGTTATATCCGCAATCTCCAAAAAGAGTGATATTTCGTTTATTTGCATACATACTCTGTAGTGCTGATTATTACGTGTCATCTTAGAAACATGTAGAACAGGTGAATATTCACAAGCAGCGTATTGTATAACAGACCATCCATCACAAAAATTGATAATAAACACATCGGCTCCAGCTCTGACAGCGATGCCACATGCACAGAAGGCTGTGTCACTGTAACAAGTTGTTAGCTGAATTTGAACCTGCATATGATACAAATATATGACAATTTAAACTTTGAACAGCAGATAGATAGTTGAACGTTTATAGTGACTAGTAGTTTTTTTTCATCTTTTCATTTGAACAATCTTTCTGTTTTGCAAGTATTTTTAATAGTGTAAAAATACCGCATAGTACATCAGACCATATCAACCACCAACATGTGTGTGTGTGTGTGTGTGGTAGTTTTATTTACATTTCGATAAATAAGAAAGAACTCAGTGCTATTCACTGCTTGCTACAATATAATTGTATTTGTTCAGTAATTAGTGTTGTTTATCTTATTTAATTCTATTTTGGTCAGAAAGTGCATTCATTAATTCTCATAATAGATATAAGAAGATGTGGTATGAGTGCCAATGAGACAACTCTCCATCCAAGTCAAAATTTATAAAATTAAACCATTATAGGTCAAATGCATATAGGTGGAATTGAAGATATTATTGTTTTTCAATAGACAATACCATTCGAAAACAAATATACATTTTGAATGTAAATAGTTGATTCCAAGCGATTTATTTAACTCTTTCATACAAGATATTTCTTTACTTACTTCCATATTTTGCAGTTTGCTACGAAACATTGTATACGTTCCTCTGTGTTGATGTTCATAGTGCCTAAATCAACACACAAAGTCAAAATATTTCAGTGTAACTTGCAATAAAACCGTTCAAAAGTCAATATCAACAATGCGATAATAGTCATAAATGTGCAAAATTATATTCGCTATTTACAAGTTTCTTACAATCTTGACAAAAATGTTCTATATTGTTTCTGAATTGGCCGGACCTTTTGTAATTTTAGCTATTGATTGCTCTTCATTATCATAAATGATTTTGCATCACAACTGCTTTGATTTGAGCGCAACTCAAGAGTCTTTAGTAGACGCATTAGGACGTATGTTGTACTAAATTATAAACCTGGAATCCCTCATGATTTTGGTTGAAATCACTGCTGGTTGACGTTTGGCAACACTCTGATGCTGACATAAAAATCATTGAGGCTGTCACTGTCTGTACATTAACTGTTCAATAAATGTTTATTTATTAGTAACCCTTATGTATTATTTTCAATTTGAAATATTTGATTTTGAATGCTCTGCAATTTTGTAATGTATTTGACCTACCAATTGTTTAATGCAAGCGCCTTTTTGATGTTCATTATGTTGACAATATGTCGCCATTATGGTTTATCAAATTAAAAGCCTGGTATTTTTGATAATTGTCGCTTTGAATTCATTAATATGTAGTAAGAGAAATACTTACAAGCCATCAAAAGTTGTCATATGGGGATCAGTGTAAGCAGAACAAACTTTTGAATGCCACTCTGTATCATGTTGAATGACTTTGACCTACGATTGATAAGACAAACCAAACTTAACTCAAAATGTTTTCATAATGTTTGGTAGTATTACTACGTGAGCTTGTATTCTGCATAATATGTTGGCTGTAGTTCAATTATAGAATAAAAATCCATTCAATGGCTAAAATTCTAAATTTTGCAAAATATTTTTGTTCTAAATGTTTATTCATATTTTAGATCTGCATTTTAAATTACATATTATTACTATAAATAGAAATAATACTTATTTCACCATAGATTTATAAGAAGTGACAATGGTCATTTATTAATTCTTGTCTAAAGAGTACATTTCTTCATTCCTTGATGTTGAAGAGTTTTAAGATTACACCAATAAAAGAGATTAATAAAAAGATTTAACATTGTTACCTTCCTATACACCTCTACTGTGTTGTTATTAAGTACAGTATATACTAACCTTAATGTCTGGCACTTCCTCTACAGTCATAATATTTTCAGACACAACCGCCCGCAGTTTAATAAGAAATGTATCTAAATGAACTCCGTATTGTCGATTTGGTCTGTGTTTTATGGCAAGAGTCTTTGACACATTCCAGTTTTCATTTTCTATTTCAAAATCGCATCCATTCCTCTGAGAGAGAGTTACAATGTCACCATCACAACTGTCATCATTATGAACTCCTAATGCTACAGTATCCACAATAGTGAGATGAACACTGCAATTTCTGCACGACAAAGGTACAGTTAACCAGTATCTTAACTTAGCTGTGCCACCTTTTTCAATTTCAACAGGACTGTTTGTCTGAAAAAAATGGCACAAAAACATTTGTGTTATGTTTTGGAAATTCAAATGTTTTAGCCTCGAGCATCAATGAAGAGACATCAATTGTCGAAATGCGCATCTTGTGCATTAGCATTGGTACCGTTTATGTTATTAAACTAAATAATTGACCTTATGCAATAAAACTTATGTTTTCACTTATACGTCTCATGTTTAGAATGAATAATGATAAACAAGTTACTCTTTTTGAAAAAAAGTGATTCTTGGAACTGCTCTGACGTTTAGGAGCAAATTCTATATTGTCAAATAAGCATATGGCATTCAATGAACAGTGAAGGAATTTGAGTAATATTGATATAAACCCGCACAAACAATTATAGTTGTATGACACTCGATTGTTGTGAAAGGATTATAAAAATGATGTTGATACAAATGATTGTTTGTAGAATACCAAATTTGTACCTCCTTTCCGATTAATTTACTGCAATATTTCCATCTGATTATCTAGGGGCTATTGAACTATATGTTAATAGAATATGACATAGAAAGGTCAACGTGTGAAAATGACTATTTTTTACTTGGATGACATCTTGGTATAAGAGAATAATTTTCAAAACAATTTATCCGTTTGCATAAATTTAATACATACCTGTATTCCAACGTAAAACCCATTGCTATTGAAAGTTGTCATAACTTTATTTAGTTCGTATTGCCCTTCAATAATGCAATTTACCTAAAAGATAAAGTGTACATATTGTATATTTTCTAATAATGTCCTACGGAATTGCCCAAAGTAATTAAGTGTACAATTGTCATTTTCCTATAATTTTTGCATATACTTTTTATACTTCACGTGTGTTTACCTTTCATTCAAACTTCAATATATTAACAAGCTTAAAACAAACGTACATAGCACAACAAAGACAAGACAACACAATGACAACAGCATAATATTTGAAAACAGACTTCACGTGTGTTAACCTTTCATTCAAACTTCAATAACTTCAAGTGTAAGGGTCATCGAATTGGTTAGTGAATTTGATGATGTCTTAGGTCTAGAAAATACATGAATAAATCAGTCATTGTAAGATGCCTAATATAAACACGACGGGTGTCCCTAATGAAGCAGCAACTACTGACCATTATGGAGGATATGACTGTACCTACGTTTATGGTAAGGTACCGGTTGCTCAGTTTTGAATTATTTTGTAGTGTTTTTGGGTCTGTTTTCAAATATTATGCTGTTGTCATTGTGTTGTCTTGTTTTATTAGACTCATGGTTTTTGAACAATGCCCCCTTGGCATTTCCTCTCCTTTTGCAGGTTTTGCTTGGTCTTGCATAAAAAAGTTAAAAAATAAGTTTCTGCGACTATATTCACAAATTATCTTACGATTAAAATTGATCGTAACTTATACTGAAATGTGTATGATTACGAGTATTTTTACTCTTGAGATTTTTTGTGAAGAGAGTCGCTGATTGTTTAATATGGTTTATTTCTAAGGTAATATTAGCGAAGTCCGTGAAATAATTAACATATGATTTCCTGAATCTATGTACGTTTGTTTTAAGCTTGTTATATATACGTTAAAAAAGGGAATTTGTTCTTGCTATTAGTATTCTATCATATGTTCGTGAAAATTTTAGGAAAAAAGATGTGTGTCTGTTCTAACTAAACAAGAATGTTATTTCTAAGACATACGTACATTTATTCCCATGTCTGTTATAGAATAACCTGGCAAACGCATTAACTGAAGATTTTCTGCAGTGTCTTGAAATACAATGATGTTATTTCCCCACATCCACGTTATGTTAAAATATGTGTAATTCATTCTGCTCGTATCTAAGTGACATTCCAGGTCATACTTCTTATTTAACGGGTTTGGCATAAAAGATGTTAAATGAATTCTTATGTCAGGAACAGGTATGGTGTCTACGAAAAAAAAAATAAAAACCTCATATTGTTAATTTTTTTGTGAAAAAAGCTCATGGCAAACCAGACACGTAGCAAAGCTAAGAAGATAAAAGAAAATGGTGCATAACAATCATAATTGAAAATGAAATACTTCTACCTTTTCTGTAGAATATATGATTTCAAAAACTAATTTAAAGACATTATGTTTTACCAATTAACGTGTCTATCGGTACTATGATTGGCGGATTGATTGTTGTAGTTTATCGCCACTGTAGCATTATTGGTTATATGCTGGCGGTAATTTTGTATTGATGGAGGAAGCAACCTCAGTGTTGACAGCCTATTGATACAGTAGATGAGCGATTCCCTTTAGAATATATGTCTTGTGACACCTGTTCATATTTATGCTGGATATGAATGTATGCTCTGTGCAGCTTCATAAATTAGTAAAAATTGTCTGTTTGATGATAAATGTATCTAACTATCTAGATGATCAGTGGGATGGTTTAATCATTCGGATATATATTACTGTACTCAACATGATTTCTGTTTTTTTTTAATTCAGCATCTAATAAATCAGTTTGTGTTTATTCTATGCCTTTGTATGGGCTCTTGAATGTTATAGATATAATGATTATACATTCATCCAATTGCAGATAAAGATTTACTCGGTTAGAAGGTCCTCAGACTTGTAACTTATTTAATATGTCTTCTTGTAAAAGGAACCATTAATTTATACACAATATTGATGTAGTTTTTGTATTGTATTATTGAAAAAAGGACCCAGACTATGTGTTTCTGCACAGGAAAGGCCATATTATGCCTTCAATATTCTATAAACAGTAAATTTGTAGAAAAAGAACGAATCAATGATAATCATGTCAACCTAAAAGCAGTTGCTTCTATTCAGTAGTCGTAAAAACTCATCAAAGATACCAGTTAATGGAGTTGCCATATGCGCAATTTGTCTACCTAAGACTCATCAGTTACGCTCGAATCAAAACAGCTGAAAGACCAATTCAAATGCAAAGTTGAAAAGCATTACAAATTCAAAATTGAAAAACAGCACAACACGCAGCCTATTTGCAAAAATTTTATCAGTGTCCTTAAAATCATATCAATATCTGCAGGCATAATATGAAATAGTCCAGACGACTATTTGGTTTTAGAATAACGGAACCGACGAATGACAGAAGGAGAGACATTGGTGACACAATGTGCTCCGGTTTCCGGCTAAACATTATAGTTTTCAAATCAAAAGATGATATAAAATATTAAAATGCTAGATGTTTTTAATGCATTCAAAATGCATGAGGTTTTAATGTTTGAGAGCAGGACCAGGACTTTCAATGTATTGTTTTCTTCCTTAGACATAAAAACCTTTTATTAGTGGTGTATAATCAGCCAACTTCCAATTCCTAACTCCACGAGGTTTAAATGTAAGTGAGCTAAAATGATTTTTGTACAAATGAATAGGATTGACTCAGTTGATATTTGCTTTTGAGCATAACTTTCATTGTACGGTTTTTATTTTTTTATAAGTTTGGTAATAAAATTTTAAAGTGTTTGAAAGTTAAAGAGCTGAATTTGTTGTTTGTTTGCACAAGTGTGACTAAGTTGAAGTATTTACTCGTAACTTTCAATGTAGAGTTTATTTGTATGTTCGCGAAACATCTTCTAAAAGTGGTTAAATATCATACCAAGTTTTATGATCAAACTCCAAGTTTAAACATTCGAGAGCGGAAAAGTCTTTTTTGTACAAATGCACATGCATGGTTGACTAAGTGAAACTACGTTTAGACCACGACCTTAACTTTAGGATTTTTATCCTTGTATGCGACACATCTTCTATTGGTTTGTTAATCATCCTTTCAAGTTAATATCAAACTCCGATGGTTTAGAAGTTATATAGCGGAAACGACTTGCGACGGACGGGGGACGGACGCACGCGCACATGGATGGACAGACAAGCTTATTACTACAAGTCTTCCGTCGATTATATCGGCAGGGCATTACAAAGGTTACAGAAAAGATTTAGGATAAGGTTTAAAAAAACTTACGATTCATGCTCCACTCTGTTGTTGAATATGATGAGTTACAAATGTACATTTCATCAAAAGGACTGTTTGCTAAATCAGTATAACAATCACCTTCAATAAGACACTCCCCCTTAAATAAACGTTATAAGTAATTATTTGGTATGGACTTGCATGCACATTATATGGTATGTAATAAACATCTGCGCCATAAGAGAGGTTATTTTATTAGATATAAACCAGTCACCAAAGTTTGTTATTGTCTGAAAACTGGAAAATCACCCCTTTTTATGAATAAAATTCCATAACTCGGAAACTTATAATCTAAAATTCATAAAAATTGAAAGATGGCGTACGTCAATAGATATAAACAATTCATGAAAGTTTCATGAAAAATGCTCAAAGCATTTTTGAGTTATTGTCCGAAAACTTGAAAATCCCCCTTTTTTAATGAATAAAACCCCATAACTCGAAAATGTAAAATCTAAAATTCATTAAAATTGAAAAGGAGCTCACATCAATAGATTTAAACAATTCAAAACAGTTTCTTGCAAATTGGTGAAAGTGTTTTTGAGTTATTGTCCGAAAACAGGAAATTCCCCTTTTTTAATAAATAAAACCCCATAACTCGGAAACTTAAAATCTAAAATTCATAAAAATTGAAAGATTGCTTACGTCAATAGATATAAACAATTCATGAAAGTTTCATGAAAACTGCTCAAAGCATTTTTTAGTTATTGTTCGAAAACTTGAAAAT